ATGCATGTTGACATGTACATGCACCAACGTTATTCAAATTACCTCAACATCTTGACATCAAGTTCTGGAAAAGTATCCTTCATGAATATAAATTTAAACCATTTGAGTAGAAGCATGGAAATGTCTAAAACAAAGAGATGCAGTTTAAAAATCTATCTATTTCATCAATCAACAGGACAGCTATAAAATCACCAGAGTGAAGGTCTTGGTATTCAGATGCATCACTTTACTTGGGTAACAACCAACACAACTGTTTTTGAACCCTGGCCCGGTAACTGATTGCAGCTGAGTGCTGGCACACAGAAATGATCTAACACTGACCGACTGAATGCCAGTCAGCGATAGTTCGTGTCAGGCAGAGAGAGAGTTTTGGTGGCAGGATCAGAACCGGGATGAGAATTTGCTTCAGCCAGCACTCCAGCAAGCTCGGGATGAGAGCAAACTGGCACAGGTTTGTGTTTGTTTGGTTTTATCTGGCACAGCACTCGTTACAAATCTGGCTTAAGGTAAGTAACCGCATGAGATGTAGGCCAATGGTAAGCCAGATGATCACAAGTAAATATCTATTTATGGAATGAATCTTCTACTCAATGCAATAAACTGGCCTTACAACCTCTTTATTTGTCCTCAACATGTATAAGACAGGATGTAGCACTGGCTTTCATAATAAAAGCCTCTTTTTAAGCACTTAAGATGAATGCCTAATTAGGAAAGGATAACATTCAGCATACAGCTGTGGCCAAAACATTTCAGGATGTCTCAAGTATTGTTTTTCATTGTTTGCTGCTTCTATTTATAGAGCAGATGTTTCAGTGAAGAAAGAGTATATAAACTTAAAGCTTTTATCAACAAATATATGAAGTTTATGCAGAGTCTTTGGCAATGTTTTTGCTTATTTTGAAGCCCTCTGCCATTCCCTGAGCTATTTAAAAATAATTTTAGTCTTACAGCTTGGCAACGGTGGTAGAAGAAACAAGTGCCTGCCCCGTAACTGGAGGGTTGCAGGTTTGAGCCCTATCTGTTGTAACTGTTGTGTCCTTGGGCAAGACACTTAACTCTCCTTGCCTGCTGGTAAGAGGGACTGGTGGCGCCTGTGGACAGCAGCCTTGCTTCTGTCAGTGCACCCCAGGGCATTTTAGCTCCTCATCACCACCACTGTGTGAATGTGTGTGTGCAAGGTTGAATGACTGTGTTGTAAAGCACCTTGGGGAGTTGTAAAACCCCAGAAGACGCTATATCAAACACATTTACCATTGATCCATTCAGATGATAAAATGCACTGTTCATCACCAAATGTTATTAGGTGTTTGGGAGGAGTTCCTCTGGGAGGATGTTTAGGTACCATTCTTTAGTTATGTCTGTGTTCTGACTGTTGGTGAGCCCCCTTCATCGGCGGAGAAGCAACCTTAAATATGAATGTTCTCAGGATGTTTTAACGGTTGGTTGGACATAGGACTAACAGTAGTCCTCACTGTTTCCTTTTTGAACATTTTAGTTTTCAAGATGCCCCAAAAAAGTATGAAAAGAGATTAACCAGAGACAACGACTTTTCCTTGGTCCTCAGCAGTTCAATCCATGGACCTTTGGCAGAATATCAGTGTATCCTTGATGGTGTTTTTGGAGATTTGGAGTTGCTTTGTCTTCCTTCTTTACACCAGGCCATCCTCCAAAAGTCTGTGTATCACTAAAAGCACTCACACTCACCCGCTGCTATTGCTTGGCAAGCTCTGGACGTGCCCTACTCTCATAAAAACCAACATTAAGACATGTTAACGTTCTGGAGCATATGTACATGAGATGACTAAAACTGAAGTTGCAAACTATGTGATCATTAGGGCTGGGGGTAAACGATTATTTTTAAAACGATTATTCTGGCGATTATTTTATCGAATAGTCGACTATTCTAATGACTATTTAGAAAATTAATCTAATGATTATTTTTCTATTGCACAATTAACAAAAACCAGAAAATCTCAAATAAATTCCTCAAAAAAATTGATAAATTCTTACTGTAAGAGAATAAACACTACAGGCCTTCCATTTTGTATAACACTGCGTTTATTGTGTTGGTTGGTTATGTTCTGGTGATGTGTAGAACTTGGGAGTGCAGGCTGCTGCCTGAGAGGTGGTAGAAGATGGAGTGTCTCCATGCTGCTTTGTTTTGGTCACTTATGTGCGTGAGGCGAGTGGTCTTACGGGTTAAACCAAACTCAGGTGATATTTTACACTAAACCGCAAACCCACAACACTCTAAATGTAATAAAAGGGAGATCTGCACCACAAAAAAGATGAACTCTAAACCAAAACGTAACAGCTTATCCCAACGCAAGAAGCTGTTAGCGAAGATGCTAACAGTAGCTTTACCAACATTCAGTTCAAGTTACCAAGTTTAAATAAACCAAAAACACCCAGCAGCAAACAGACCAGCACGGAGGAGAGACTGCTACCACCAAAACAGCTCTCCTAATGTCTGAAAGAAGCTCCTTAATGAAGGGAGAAGCGCTCCCGGTGATTTTCTACATCTGCGATAGACACGAAGCAGCGCATCTGACCCCGGAAGTTGTTGTCCGTTGCCGGAAGACGAAGGGGCAAAACAGGGAAATAATCTAGTAGTGGATGGACGTTTTTCCGGGTCTTCGGTATTTGGCGGAGATGTTAGTGAAGGCGGAGAAGAGGGCGAACTAGAGGAAAAACAGGCAGATTCCTCCTCTATTTACAAACTCCTGGGGATGCAACAAGTGGGCGCGGTGCGTCGACTTCCGGATCTGACGTCGACAAATTTTTAGAATCGAGCCGTCGACTTCGTCGAGGCTTCGCTACAGCCCTAGTGATCATTTTAGTTTTGTGTCTTTATGAAGACACACACTAAACATACAAAACAAAACTTGGGACAGTGCCGTGGCTGAGTGGGTAGTGCGCTGGTCCCAACTAGGCTCTGTAGCCAGGCGTAACTGGGCAAGACGCCGAACCCTAAGCTGCCCCAAGGTCAGGGAGGACTGTGGTAGCTGCCACCGCTGACAGAAGAATTTCTCAGTAGCCTAGTGGACCGGGAGACTGGAGTTCAAATCCATGGTCGGGTCATACCAAAGACTTCAAAAATTGGATCCAATGTCTTCACGTTTGGATTGGGGGTTAAACCACCAAATAGTTTCCGAGTGCAGCCATTACTGCAGCTTATCGCTCCCCACGGGGATGGGTCAGATGCGGAGATGTTATTTCACCAGTGTGTGATGATGACTAATTGGACTTTTTGACTTTAACAGTTGTCAGTTGTCATAAAGGTTAAAAACAATTGTTTCCATGTCAGTTAGATGGTCCTATTTCCCAAAAGCTTCATGTTTCCAAAAAAAATAAAAATAACAAAGAAAAACAATTTAAAAATCCAATATTTGCTAATGTTACATTCAAGTCAGGTTTGGGTGCAAGAACATCTAGAAGAAACAAAGTAATTGGTGAGTGTGCACGAGTGATTAGTATTGGTGAGAGGAAATCGATGTGACTGTCAGTAGGATGCAGGAGGTAAACAGCAGCTCCTTGTGTAGACCAAGCTCGCATCGTTTTTCGTCAGATGTAAGTACAACATGTTTTGGGGCATTTGCTGAAATTATTTATGCTGTTTCAAGTGAAGTTGCCCAGTTGTCATGGAGATTTTAAACCTTAGGTTTTTGTAGGTTGTAGAAACTGCAAGCGTACTGTTTTTATTCACACCTTCACAAGTCCAAACAATCAGGAGAAATTAGAAAAATGAAGCCTTGAGCTGTACAAGGCCAGTGGAGATCCAACAGAGCATTCTTTCATTTTCATGAGAAATGAAATTAAAATAAATGTCAGCTAGAGAATGGTAGACTAAAATATTTCAGTTTTATGAAATGAAAACCATATTTTAGAAGCTTTATTAAAACAACCCTTTTTTTTCTCTAGTCATGTGTGATGGAGTAAAAGCCCCCCCCCCCATTCACTCAAAAGGTTTTTGACACTAACTTACAAATTGCACAACGGTGTAGAAGCTGAAGCATAGAGGTGGAGCAGGGCCATGATAAACATTTCAGCGAGGCAGGAGTCGATATCCTGCTGATTTCAAAGAGGTTGCCCAATTTCTTCACCCCTGCTGCCCCTTAGACACGATGTCTGCTCCCAGCATTTATATATGAGCTAACCCAGTGAGTGAAGGCTTTAATGACCCCACACTGAGCTGATGGGGGCAGTAAACACCTCCTCCTGAGCTGCATCTTTCAGCTTCTGCTGCCAGTCGGGATCATTTAAAGGGATTCTGGCGGTAATTTGTCTGTAATGGTATTGATGGTACACTGCCAGCTTTGTGTTAAGTTAGCACCAAGTCAGATAAGGTAGTTGTTTATTATTTAGGGACGTGGTGGGGAATTTCACTACGTGATGAAACTATGACCTATAACTCAATAATAGTGCAGTTAGGTCTGGTTTTCTGCAATAATATGGAAGAATGTTTTATATGAACTTATTTATATTACAAGCTACTTGCATTATCTCAGCAAAAAGGTGCTTTTCAAAACTGCACACAGCTCTAATCTGACACACACACACACACACACACACACACACACACACACACACACACACACACACACACACACACACACACACACACACGAGAGAGTCATGACTGTTTCATCAATTCAGAAGATTATATTTAGTAGCTGCAGGAAAAAGAACAAAAAAAACAACATCCTGTTTTGGTTTATGTTTACATCAGTCAGATAAAGCTGCACCCTCCGGATGTTAAACTGTTCATCTGACAGCAGTCACACTTCCTTTTATTGTTCCATCTGAGCCAGAAAGATGGATCAAAAACAACAAACTCTCCTTCCTTTCTGCCCTTCCAACCCCAGCAGGGTGAAAAATACAGCAACACTTTAAATGACATCCAGTCTGAGCACAGCAGGCTGTAAATCAACTCACATGACAAAATTAGGCTCATCATCTCCCAAGTCAGCTGAAAAAAGATAGTTGTGCTGTTTACTCACCCTCCTGAGCCGTGTTCTCTACAGCTGTGGACAGAAACCAGACGAGAGCCAAGATCAGAGAGCCGAGCTTCCTCCCGGTTCTCATCATGACCGGGCTCGGTGGAGAGAGACGGGGCGCAAACCCTCCGCGCTCCCCCAGCGCTGCGCACCGCACCAGCTCACAGAAGTGCGGATTAATGCAGTTCACGGTGATTTAAATCAAAATCAAAATACGTGTAATAAAAGGATCCACGACTCCAACGAGATACAGCAGGCTGTCATAAAGTTTTCCCTATGAGGACCAACACATGGCCAGAAAATGGGTTAGAAAAAGGTGTTGGTTCGTGAGTTAGGGGTGTTTGCTGCTCGTTGGAGGTTAGGTTATAAAGCGACAGAAAACGCCGGTAGAGGAAAGGATGTGGAGTAGAGAAAAGCAGCCGACTTGGCTCTCCTTCTAGTAGAGACACAGCGACACACTACCATGTGCGCGTAGGACTCTACTGGGTCCTAGAGCCCGTAGCCGTTCCCTGGTCCACTCATTTTCTACACACCCATGTACAGAAGCTGTGGAAGTCAGGGGCGAACCCAGAAAAGTTTCATAGGGGTGGCCATGGGGCCAGAGAAATTTTTGGGTTGCCACACCAAATTGATTCTTGTGGTATCGCTGGGAAAGTTTAGCCTGTAGTGATGCAATACCCTAACCCTGACCCTAACACACACACACACACACACACACACACACACACACACACACACACACACACACACACACACACACACACACACACACACACACACACACACACACACACACACACACACACACACACACACACACACACACACACACACACACACACACACACACACACACACACACAGCAATATGTGTCCAGCGCCCTTACGTCAAATTAGAGAAACACAAACATTTTGGAAAAAAAAACATTTGAAATAGTTATTTGATACATTGCTTCAACATTTATTTTAGAATCTTAGAACACCTAATGTTTCTTTTCTAAAACATCCACAAAATCTATCATGATAAAAATTTGTTTAGAAACTTGAGCAGCAGCAACATGAACATTTTTTTAATTCCTTATTTTTTTATTCATTGTATCATTTTTATAGTGTTTTACATGTAGCCTGCATGTGAAACTTGAAAAATTAGAACATGGTGCAAAAGTTCATTGATTTCCGTAATTCCACCTAAAAAGTGAAACTAATATGTGAGATAGACTCATTACATGCAAAGCCAGATATTTCAAATCTTTATTTGTTATTAATGTGATGACCCTAAATTCAACATCTCAGACAATTAGAATACTGTCAAAAGGTTCAATGTTCTAGACTAAAAGTCACACTCTAATTAACTAAACACCTGCAAAGGGCTCCTGAGCATCAAATGGTCTCTCAGTCTAAGTTGAATTACAGACAGTGGGTACGGAAATTATTCAGACCCCCATCAATTTTTCACTCTTTGTTATATAGCAGCAATCTGCTAAAATCAGTAAAATATTTGTTTCCACAGTAATGTACACACAGCATCCCATATTGACAAAATAACACAGAAATTTTGAATTTTCCGCATATTTATCAAGAAAGAAAAGCTGAAATATCACATGCTCCTATAAGTATTCAGACCCTTTGATGTGACACTCACATATTTACCTCAGGGGCTCTCCATTTCTTCTGATCATCTTTGAGATGGTCCTACACCATCACAGGAGTCCAGCTGCATGTGATTAATTCAATTCAGTTCAAAAATACTTTATTAATCCCAGAGGGAAATTGATTAAATTATACTGACTAGACTCAGTTAGGAAAGACACACACCTGTCTACATAAGACCTTACAGCTCAAAATGCATGTCAGAGCCAATCAGAATCATGAGGTCAAAGGAGCTGGCTGACGAGCTCAGAGACAGAATTGTGGCAAGGAACAGATCTGACCATGGTTACAAAAAAGTCTCTGCTGCACTTAAGGTTCCTAAGAGCACAGTGGCCTCCATAATCCTTAAATGGAAGACGTTTGGGATGACCAGAACCCTTCCTAGAGCAGGTCATCCAGCCAAACTGAGCTTTGGTGACAGAGGTAAAGAAGAACCCAAAGATCACTGTGGCTGAGCTCCAAAGATGCAATCAGGGGACGGAGAAAGTTGTAGAAAGTCAACCATCACTGCAGCCCTCCACCAGTCAGGGCTTTGTGGCAGAGTGGTCCGCCGGAAGCCTCTCATCAGTGCAACACATGAAACCCCACATGGAGTTTGGTAAAAGACACCTGAAGGACCCAGAGATGGTCAGAAAAAAGATTCTCTGGTCTTATGAGACCAAGATAGAACTTTTTGGCCCTAAGCGGTTCGTGTAAAGATAACCACACACTACTCAACACTTGCCCAATACAGTCCTCACAGTGAAGCATGGTGGTGGCAGCATCATGCTGTGGGGGTGTTTTTCAGCTGCAGGGACAGGACGACTGGTTGCAATTGAGGGAACAATGAATGCGGCCAAGTACAGGGATATCCTGGACAAGAACCTTCTCCAGAGTGCTCAGGACCTCAGACCGGGCCAAAGGTTTACCTTCCAACCTGAAAAAGACCCTACAGCTAAAATAACAAAGGAGTGGCTTCACAGCAACTTTGTTTTTGAAAGGCCCATCCAGAGCCCTGACTTAAACCCAACTGATCATCTCTGGAGAGAACTAACCATGGTTGTTCACCAACGTTTACCATCCAACCTAACAAAACGTGGACAGGATCTGCAAGGAGGAATGACAGAGGATCCGCAAATCCAGGTGAGAGAAAGTTGTTGCATCTTCACCAAGAAGACTCATGGCTGTATTTTCCTTGAGACAACTCTTGTCGTGAATTGGCGCTATGTAAATAAACTTTAATTGAATTTAAATGTATTAGCTCAAAAGGGTGCTTCAACTAAATACTGAGCAAAGGGTCTGAACACTTAGGACCATCTGATATTTCAATTTGTCTTTTTTAATAACTTTGCAAAAATATTTTTTTAATTCTGTGGTTTTCTGTCAATCTGGGGTCCTGTGTGTACACTAATGAGGGAAAAATGAATTTAATCTATTTTAGAATTAGTTTTGTAAAAGGTTCCAACTAAATAATGTTTTATTTTTGTTCCAGATATACACATTCCAAGGTAGCCTACAAGAATAACAACATGAAGAAAAGAAAAAAACCTTTGGTGTGTTATGTTTTGATTCTATCCTCCATTCATAGTGTGCTGGGTTTGATCTTGAGTCCACATCAGATTAAAATGACTGACTTTTTCCCTAACTCACATTTTCTGAGAAATAATGGATACAGCCTCAGGCACACAAAGACAGAATAAGTGAAGAAAATAACTTAAAAAGAAAAATGCAGCTTTGAAAACGACTGAGGTTTTTTAATAACCCTGCTTTGGATGTAATTGTGTGTAAAATGTTGTGTAAAAAGCTTTGATGATTCACGTAGAGTGAAACATACACTGATGCGATTCTACGATGACATTTTCAACCAACTGAACACCAAAACCTCCTTTAAGTTTTCACAAGAACTGATCGTTACTCTATTTGCAAAATCCGGATCAGTTTCTTTATTATTTATTTATTTTTGATTAACCACTTTGCAGACTGAAGCTGAATCCAGGCATATGGACAGACACACTACCCGTGTGTGTTGTGTTAGCTACCTGCTCTGGTGCAGCCTAATCTCTCCTGGTGTGTGTGCTGCAGGCAAAAATGAAGTCACAGATGTCTCGGTGCAGCTTCCGTTTACCCACACATCTCTGCTGAGGCTACAAACAGTGAAAAGAAAAACAGCAAAGCTTTGCCTGAGCTGACTGATGTCTGGGTTGTGACTGTAAACTCTCTTGGTGCCCCTGAAGATTGTCATTTTCTCTCTGAGGAGATTTATTATGCTCCTTTTACTGTTATTCACTTGTTACAGTTGTGCTGATCCTACTTTATCTTTTTGAGTGACTCCCCTGGCTTTCCATATCTTTCACTCACCCTGAGATTCTTAAATGTTAAAGCCAAACCCTGCCCGGATAATATTAAATACGCTGAAGCTGCGGCGACAAAGAAAGGACTGCTCTGATCCGATTTGGGCTGATGAAATGGCTAATAACTTACAAAGTGACTCAGCATGGATGCACACAGCTGAAGATAACCTCGGGGCAGCGGAGGGGCCTCGCAGCACACAGTCCACATTATGCGTGGATGTGACACAAAGACACGTGATTCCTTAGAGAGAGGAGCACTGACTGACAAGAGCCCGTCTCCTCGTATATAGCTCCTGTCAGTCAGCGCTCATCATCTGTAACCTGCCTACGTGGCAGGAGGGCCGTTATCCTCAGTGGGACGGCCAGCAGGAGAGAAGTCAGCGGATATCAATACTGTTTACTATACCTGTAAGCCAAAATCAACCAGAGAGTGGAGGTAGTGGATCTATTAATCATTCAAACTTACATTACTTACAATTTTATGTATTTAGAGCAGAGCAACCCCCCCCCCCCCCCCCCCCCCCCCCACACACACACACACACACAAAGAAAAAGGTTTATCCGCAAAGTTCGGATAAAAAAAAGTGTGTTTCCTTCTCATCCCACAGGATTCTGTTTAAATGCCAGTCACCCTTACAGAGTTTATGTGTCCTGAGGTCCCGGGCTGTGCTTGGGACACTCCTCTTATAACAGTGTCATCTCTGCTGTTGGAGCTCTGTGACAAAGATCTCTTTCACAGGCGCCTGAGTTCGATTAGCTTGAAATTCCATCGTTCCGGATGGGAGTTTCCAGAGGCCTCAAGGCTGATGTGAAACCAATGATAAAACAGAGTGTTGCCCCTTGTTTTTCTTTTACTGTATGGACAGCTCTGCTTGAATCACAAACATCTAATCTATTAGAAAATAATATTTATATTACACACAACGTAACTTTATTTAGAATTTTGCAAGGCTTGATGCGTTATGTTTCCAGAAGTTTCAATTATTTCACACAATACATATAAAAGCTGCTTTAGTAAATTTAAACACCACATTTACATCCACTATCAGAAATGTCAATGAACAACTTTTAGATGTTAAATTAGATAGCATCTGCATTTTCTAATAATGCAAAAATACACATCGGAATTTAAGCTAATCCGTTGAAACACAAACATGCAGAGATTTTCACAACCGAAGCTGAAGAAGCAGTATCAGTTAACCCGTTTCCCTGATGGTGTCTGGTTCATCTTTGCAGAATCTGGTCCAGAAGTCTCTGTAAGACAAGAAAAGCACCTATGACACCGGTGTCCTCCCTCCAGAGGAACGTTCCTAAAGCCCGTATCAGACCTTTCCTCCCTTCATGTCTTAGGAGCAGCTCAGCATCACACAGAGGCGACAACCACAGCTAAATTGGCTTTCACACCCATCAGCTTCACCTCTGAGGTGGCCAAGTCGGGGTAAAAGAGGGAATAAGTCTGGCTCACTATCTGCCTGCTATGCAATCACATTCCCACAACAGTGGTACCCAACAGCTAGAATCTCATTTCAGGCAGCATTCAGCACCACCCACACTCTACCTTGCGCTATCAGACCCCCACGGTGAGTCTTTGCCGGGCTCCCCCTCTGCGCGGGATAAAAAACGAGGCCTCCAAATCACACAGTGTTTGTTCGAGAGGAACTCAGTCTTTTTCTTGCAATCTCTGTGGTTGGGCCCGGCTAATAGCTCCTTTTTCAGAGGTGGCAAGGTCACACTGGCATCCCTATCTGCTATATTTCATCAAGAAATAACATGTTCTCTGGCACAAAACCAAAGCTGAAGGCTGTGGTGGTATACCACAACTCTGATCCATACTTAAAAAAAAGAAAAATTAGGCTGCGGGTGAGAATTAAAACCAGGTATTTAGATAATCCTAAAAACAACCCTACATGTTTTTATCTCCGAGCCTGCTATGGGTGTGTGATCATCCAAGAGAGATCTGACATCTCTGCACTTCTAACGTGTCATCTCACTGTCAGCAAAGTCATTGTTCTGGTTATAATGGGAAAGTGAGTGAAGGCTCACCTACAGGTGAACGTGAGCAGAGCAGTCTGACACCACTTGTCCTAAATATATCATTCATTTCCCCCAAAGCACCTTAGTTGCTGTATGGTGGAGATTTGAAGCTAAACTATGATTTATATGAATGTGGAATAATTGTAGCAACTATTATTTATGCATTAATGATCATCATAAGGCCTAGTTGTAATGGTGGTGTTTTTAGACTCTTAATGTTGCATGCCGATGTTTTGAGGGCCTGCATGAGAATTGGCAGAAGGATTTAGCTTTAACAGTTAAACAGTGTCCTCTGCTGGACCATGATCAAATTACACCTTTCCCTCAAACTTTTTCCTAAATTCAAATTCCTGCAGCTGTTTCTCATTTATTTTGTTTGTTTGGCAAAAATAATCTAAAAGATGATTAAATTAAAAAATGTTTTAAATGTTATTTTTTAAAGGCAGCCATAATAAAAAGACAGCAATGATCATTTTTATTTACTAAGAATGAATAATAAACAATGTTAAATTTCTTTTGAGTAAGAACATTTTTCTTTTAGGATTGTTTGCAGTTTAAAACGTGCTTCATCCTGGAGTTTGGTATTAAAGTTATCCTACCCACTGAGTCCGAGTGGGCCATGTTCCGTGCGTCTATTGTTGAGGCGACTGACCGGAGCAGGGTTGTCGGTGCCTGTTGTGGTGGCAACCCCCAAACCCGCTGGTGAACACCGGCGGTAAGGGATGCTGTGAAGCTGAAGAAAGAGTCCTATCTGGCCTTTTGGGCCTGTGGGACTCCAGAGGCAGCTGATCTGTACCGGCATTCCAAGCAGAATGTGGCTCAGGTGGTCGCAGAGGCAAAATTCCCAGGAGTGGGAGGAGTTGGGTGAGACCACGGAGCAAGACTTCCGTATGGCTTCGAGGAGATTCTGGTCCTCCATCCGGCATCTCAGGAGGGGAAAGCAGTGCGCTACCAACACTGTTTACAGTGGTGACTGTGTGCTGCTGACCTCCACTCGGGACGTTGTGGACGGAATACTTTGAAGACCTCCTCAATCCCACCGGCACATCTTCCAGTGAGGAAGCAGAGTCTGGGGACTTTGAGTTGGACTCTCCAATCTCTGGTGCTGACGTCACTGAGGTGGTCAAAAAACTCCTTGGTGGAAAGGGCCCGGGGGTGGATGAGGCTCACCAGGAGTTACTTAAGGCTCTGGATGTTGTTGGGCTGTGTTGGCTGACACGGCTTTGCAGTATTGTATGGACATCTGAGGCAGTTCCACTGGACTGGCAGACTGGGGTGGTGGTTCCCCTATTTAAAAAGGGGGACCACAGAAGAAGAAGAAGAAGAAGAAGAAGAAGAAGAAGAAAGATCTTTTCCATAGCGCTTCTCAAGATAAAAATCACGAGGCACTTCACAAAAACAAAAAAAAAGGAAAAATATTAAAAAAAAGAATTTAGAAAATGATTAAAATATATTTAAAATGAGCAAAAAATAGACAATTGTGATTAAAAATGTAAAGAAAGAGAGAGTGAGTAGGAAAGAGGCAAATCAGTGGATCCTGATGAAGGTAGAATAGGTGGGGAGAGCAGAGCAAGGAGAGGGTGATGAAGGTCACACAAAAGACAGCCTGAACAAGTGAGTCTTCAGCTGCTTTTTAAAGGAGACCACTGAGTCCACTGATCTCAGGCTCAGGGGGAGAGAGTTCCAGAGTCTGGGGGCCACAGCAGAGTGCTTTCCAACTACAGAGGGATAACACTAAGATCTATTCAGGGGTTCTGGAGAGGAGGGTCCGTTGGATTGTCTGACCTTAGATTCAGGAGGAACAATGTGTTTTTTGTCCTTGTCGTGGAACACTGGACCAGCTCTAAACCCTTAGGGGGATCTTGGAGGGTGTATGGGAGTTCGCCCAACAAATCTACACGTGTTTTGGGAATTTAGAGAAGGTGTTTGACCGTGACCCAGGTGGGCCCTGTGGGGGTACTCCGGGAGTATGGGGTACCAGGCCCTCTGATGCAGGCTGTTAGGTCCCTGTATGACTGGTGTCAGAGCTTGGTCCGCATTGCCAGCAGTAAGTTGAGCTCATTTCCGGTGAGAGTTGGACTCTGCCAAGGCTGCCCTTTGTCACCGATTCTGTTCATAACTTTAATGGACAAGATTTCTAAGCACAGCCAAGGTGTTGAAGGAATCCGTTTGGTGGCCTAAGGATCAGGTCTCTGTTTTTTGAAGATGGTGTGGTCCTGTTGGCTTCATCAGAACGTGATCTTCAGCTTTCGCTGGAGTGGTTTGCTGCCGAGTGTAAAGCGGCTGGGATGAAAATCAACTCCTCTAAATCAGAGACCGTGGTCTTAAATGGGAAAAAGGTAGAATACCTTCTCCAGGTTGGGAAAGAGGTCCTTCCTGAAAAGGAGGAGTTTGAGTATCTTGGGGTCTTGTTCATGAGTGAGGGAAAAATAGAGCATGAGCTCGACAGGTGGATTGGTGCTGTGTCTGTGGTGATGCGGGCGCTGCACCAATCTGTCGTGGTGAAGAGAGAGCTGAGCCGGAAGGCAAAGCACATTTTTGGTCTTTTATAATTTTGTTCTTGTGTGCTTGTGGGCATGTAAGTCAATTTAATTATGATACAAAATGTAAGCATTCCACCGTGTTTTATTTAAAGAGTTTTGCAAAAACAGAGAACTGTGAGTTTGTAAATTTCAAAAAAAGCTACTTTTTATTGTTCACTTCAGGTGAAACTGTAAGTTTTGTGTTTTGGGTCAGAAATGGCTTTTATATAAAGACATTCACATGAGTTCAAATAGTTTATTCCTGTAAATTTAAATGAAGTCAAATTAAATGATAATAATCTTTATGAACATTGAGAGATGTTTGGAACAAATGTGTAGTCCAAACTCTGTTGTACCTTTTTAAAGACCTCTGCTCTCAGTCTGTTGCTTTGTGACACAACCCTCTTTCTCTCCTCCTCCTTTTTCTTTGTCACCTCTGGTAGCTTGTTGTAAATCCTACACACTCACACACACACACACACACACACACACACACACACACACACACACACACACACACACACACACACACACACACACACACACACACACACACACACACACACACACACACACAATGCATGCACACAGACACACTCACACATACATGCAAGCACACACATTCACACAAATGAATTCAGGCACACGTACACACACACACACACACACACACACACACACACACACACACACACACACACACACACACACACACACAAACAAAAGAAAATTCCCACAGGGTAGTGATATCAGAAGGAAAAAAAACAATCATGATTGGCAGCAGAAGAGGATGAGCTATACAGATGCTACCTTAAATCTCCTCCCAGCATGTTTGAGTGTGAAATATCAGTTCTATCTGTAGAGTATGTGAGTGTGTAGATATGCATGATGTGCACATTTAAAAGTGAATGTGATGGGTTGTCCTGCACTGAGGAAAAATCTTCTGACAGGAGGTTTGGTTGAGAGAACTCACCGTCTGGACCTCAGGTGCATCTCTTTGCCTGATATGGACCTTTCTCTTGGCTTGAAAAGGTTATCTGACACACACACACACACACACACACACACACACACACACACACACACACACACACACACACACACACACACACACACACACACACACACACACACACACACACACACACACACACACACACACACACACACACACACACACACACACACACACACACACAGTCAAGCAAACAGGAATAGCAAATCAAAATGAATATGGAAATGAAACTTGCATATGCAAATGAACACTGAGGGACTGTTTGGCACAGGAATGGACAATATTCAAACACAAAGATGTATAATTGATGATCTGTTTTTTTTTATAAATTGTCCTTGGGTTTCCTAAAAGGCACTTTTAAAAAAAATGTATGATTATTCTTACTTACACTTGTTCGTGTCCTCTTCAGAGCTCACAGTGACTTTTCTCCCACCATGACCTTTCATTTCAAAACTGGAAATATTTAATTACTTTTAAATGACTTTCATTAGTTACGTAAAAGTTTTTCTTAGGGCTCGAAAAGTCAGGTTTTACACACTGATGTGTTTTAAAAGCCTTTTTTTCAGATATTAAAGGAAAACAAAGTTTCATTTAACTTTCCTTAAAATGTTAATGCATTATAATCAAACTTAGTGGAACCTTTGTTACAAATTAATTAGTAACTGATTTAAGATTTACCCCAAGTTACTGAGTTCACCTAGCTTTTCTTGATTCTTTGGGTCATTATTTTTCTTTTCAGTTGCTGCAGAAATACAGCTTTAAACCAGGTTTTTATAAAACTGTGTTATCAAACTTGCATGATAAATTTGGCCTCCTGACTGTGAACTGGTTTTATATTTCAAGACTTTTGTATTTTGGGTTTGTCTCAATTTCTGACTGCAAACAAGTAGCTAATAATTAAATAATAAGAAACATGTTTTCAGAACTTGTGAACACACACACAGCTTACAAAAACGGTTATTAAAGAAAGAAAAGAAAGCATTTTCTGATGTGCAGAACTACTAAAGGCCAGTAGAGAGCAACATGTGTAAAGAGGTGTCCCTCATCCCAGAACAGCTAAAGTACTGGAGTTAAAACCGAGAAACAGCTTGTTGTCTAATTAAGCCCAAAAAGATCTGCCATGATGTGTTGATTCTGATCATGTGTTGATCTGATGTCTGTTTAGTGGTCGGTGCACCGACCAGGTCATTTTTTCCAGCAGTCCAGAGATTTAGATGGATGTTTCCGTGTGCAGAAGTGATGGAGAGATGTTAGCAATTCCAGTGGATGAGAGGTCCTCTGCGCTGAAAATTCTGAGGTTTGTGGTTTTCATCTTGTTCATAAAAGCTGAGTTCATACCAGTGTACCCAGTCCCAGGAACTTTTGTCGTGTTATTTACAGCTGTCTGAATTTTGCCATCACCTCTGGTCTGACAGCGGAAACTGAACACTCTCTAGTTCGTGGGCATTCAGAGTTACGTCTTCTTCATGGATTATTTAAACTATTTCATGTCTCAGGGCTGATTTTTCAGTTTTTTTAAGCTCTACTTACCGCTAAGTGCATCAGGTGTGGTGCAGTTCCTCTTTAGCTTGCCTTGATCTTCTTCAATGCCCTGCAAAAGGTCTGGATTTGAGTCCTGCAGAGCCTTTTTCCTCCTTCTAGCTCTCTGTTCCATCCTCCTGACTCGACACTGAGATCGGCTGATGAAGTCTGGCCTGAAGAACTCCAAAGCCTCCTGGGGCAAAGATGAAGGTACGAATACTGAGATGCTAGCTTGTGAGGAAAGTACAGATTAGCCAAAACACTAAAAAAGGACAAAAAAAAACTTCCAAAAGTAGTTTTTAGCCTAGGATACCTTCAATAGTGATCAGGAGTAAAGATAACGATGGGAGAACTTTATTTTCAGAGGTGAGCTCTTTTTTCCTCCTGATGCTTACATTTATTATGTTAACATAATAGAAATAAAAATTTTCATTCTTCTCCACCATAACACATCAAAACAAAGAGAAAACTCTGATCATTAGCAACTGCTTTCTAATTCCCTTCTTCCACCATTGTAACTCTGATGGATCAAAAGCAAATGTGTGAGAATAAATCATGTCACTGTTGAACATATATGCAGCTATATCTCTTAAGGCCTTCACGTGTGTTTTGTTGCATGCAAGGTCATGTGACAACATTTGTTTTGCAGAGAAAATGTGAACTTAATAATCTATTACCGCAGCTGCAAACGATATGAAGCAAAGCAGAGTCCTCAGGCTGTGATTGTGATTATGTGGTTCTTTAACTTTATAAAAGTTATGAAAAAACAAAACCACGGGGAGTCATTTTAATCTGGCATCAAGCACAAAATCATTTAATTTGTGGATATAGGAGCTGTGGAGTTACTTGGACAGCTTCCATTTATATTTCAGCATGTGAGTGGTGCACTAGAAACGAACATTAAAACAACCAATGTTCATTTACAAAGGACAAAAAATGGTTTGTCCTTGAATGATTTGGATCATGAATCATGTGGGGCAGATGGTCCTTCAAAAACGGAGCTGGCACACAATATAACTTCCCCCCTTTAGTGTGAATATGAACCAATTCTAAATGGCAAATGTGCAAAGGTCCGAAACCACTATGGCCTACACACTGGAGCTAATGTGTTAGGCCACACATTGTGAAAGCCAAAAAAAGGTTTTTGAGCTGAGTAATTTCTTACATAGATGAATTGAATTTTGTACTTGAGAAAAGGATTTTAATCCATAAATTATTTTCAAATGATTATTAGGTGAGACCTGCAATGGGCTGACTCAGAAAAATGAAATCTGACATGGAATGAAGTATCAAATTAAATTTTAAAATAAAAATGATTGTCATTAGCTAAAATTTGTTCTGTTCAGATTGCTGAACCCTAACCCAGCCCTAACCCTAGCCCCCTCTTTCTAGAGAAATATTACACCTTTTTAAAGGAAAACCTCTGGAAACAGTACAGAAACCTGGCTCCCACCTTTAGGCTGAGAATGCCTGCCACAGAATCCGTCTTCAGTCGGCAGCGGTAATGACAAGTGGAAAGAGTCTCTGTGGATGTTCCATCTTCCTGGTCTGTCTTGTCTCCTGCTTGTTTCCTCCATGTCTCTGAATCTGCTTAAGACACAGAATGAAAGGTGAAGTTGGAAAACCCAAAACAAAAGACAACGACAAAAAGCTGTGTGTTTCACATTAAACGTCCCACACCCAGAAATAGTTTTCTGTGTAAATGTCGTTCTCTTTCTTCCCATCTCTGATGGATATACTTGTTGTTGAGCTCTGTCTAAGCTTTTATCATCCAGGAGAGGAAGAGAATGAACAGACCTGAAAATGAACCGAACACACTCTTGTCTGCACACATTTGCATGAAAAAACACACACTACATTTCACATAGGAGGAAAGAAAATAATCCAGAGGGAACTTGAGTGTGGCCGATGAATAATGTAGAAGATGGTCGTGTATCCATTCTGGTCTCGTAACCTCATCCCTGTACTTTTTGTAGAATATGTATAAACATGTGACATTTGTGTTGTTCTGCATCATTGTACTTTAAGTCATTGTTTTAGGACCTGTTTTACCCTTTGAGCGTCATGCACGCTCAGTGGAAACAATGAAATCCTTAAAATAGACACAAAAACAGAGGCACTGAGCTGAATCTAATAATTAAAGTGTGTTGTTTTTCATGAGGCAACAAAAGCATTCTGGCAGGTTTATCTTGGCTCCAACCTTCATTACCAAGATCTAATTTCTTGTCATGTCCTTTTATATCAGTTTTTCTTTGTTATATAACAGTTAGAGGTTAGTATTGTCCACTATTTTAAAGGAGACATAATATGCTAATCTGAATGTTTTAATCTTTTTGTGGGTTCATCTCCATGTGGGCTTCTACTGACTCTATTACCTCTTCGAACAGGAATAAAAGCTTTCATCCATTATCTGTCAGTGTTTTATTTTAGGAATTCAATGCATAAAATGAGCCATTTCAAAAAGTCCCTGATTGTGACATCACAATAGGGGAACTTAGCATAAAACCACCCATCTACTGTAGACACTGAGGAGCAGAGGCTCTACTCCAAGCCCTTCTCGGATATCCAAGCTCCTCACCTCCAAGCAGGCAATCGGGGATGGGTGGGTGCGGCCAGCAACAGCTTGTTTTCCTTAAAGTGACCCTGAACCATTCTAGAAGGTACTGAAACTGCTGAAATTATTTCACGTGAGAGGGATTTTGAACTTCAGGATTATGTTTTGTTTACACAACAGATCTACTATAGAAAAATAAAAACAAAGTCACAATAAGTCCCCTTTAAAATAGCCTCTCCAGCGATGTGCAGTGAGGTTTTCTGTAGGTTCACTGACTCCTCCGGACTCTGAAGCATTTGAAGTCAAAATAAAAGTTTGCATTTTAATTTTGACCTTGACTGAAATATTTTGTGCCTCTCCTGCATCCCTTCACTGAACCACTTCAAAGGTGGCATCCAAAGATCTAGAATTTCAGGGCTTTCGAACATGCAACCCAATGAACAAATATCAAAAACGTTCAAATTTGATGTAAAAAAAATCATACCCGAGCTGATGAAGTCAACTCCATCTGCGTTCCTTTTCAGTTCGACCATTCTAGTGTTTGAGTCAGTAGTCCTGATTGGATAAAATCTCAAGTAATCACGTTGGTAGTATCTGTCTGAGCTGTTAGCTTTATCCCAAACACCACACTGTATTGACGCTTGGTCCGCTTCGTAGTTCTGGTGCTTTGACAGAAAGCATCTATGGTGACCTAAGCCGTCCTCTCGGCCACTGTAATTATTGCTTTGCAACATGGCCGCCCAGCCTGTGCCATATCTCATATTTGTTTTATCTAGTTTCTTAATTGTAGCAGATTTACGTTGAGATGGGACACCAAGGCGACAAGATGTTGTAGATCTATACGAAACTGGTTGAACATTTCCAAAACCAAGTTCTGCAAGAGAAACCCAAAGGGACTTGTCTAGGAACAGGACAGAGCAAACGGACCTCTGAGGAACCTCATGTTGGATGCACACTTTGTAGGAAAGCTTTGGGGAGAGATGATTCATTGTTTCGGTGGCAGGTACTTCCTGTTTTATATTCTTTTCTGTGTAGTTCAGTTTGCTTCTGACAAGTTGTTCTTTCATCTTCCCTGGGTCTGTTATTCCCACTCCATTAACAGAAGAATGCACGAGTTGCAAGACATTTGGCTTAAAGATTGTAGGAGCCTGTTTGCACACTTTCTTCTGGGACTCTGAGATTCTCATTGTTGGCTAGGATAGGGCTCTTCTTTCAGATATTTCTGGTCTGGAGCAACGCATAAATAGCATTCTGGAGGAAAAGGATCCAAAACATTCTGGTGTCATGGAGCTCCATGCTGTGACTTGGCTTGACCTAGCACATTTTGGGATGCGTACAGTCCTCAGCAGATGGGAAACGCCACAAAAGGATCACCTCATTACAGAACGTTCATGTGCAGCAAAGAGATGTCTTCACTCGAGGGCTCTGAAAAGACAGAAAAGAGAACAAGCTGGGCATCTGAGTTGTGCTAGAAGAGTTGATATATCTGCAAACTCTTGAAATAAAATAAAAACTCACTGGAAAGACAAAGCAGGTATCAGCTGGAACACGATAAAAGGGTCGTATTACACACCCATCTACCTAGCTAATTCCTCTATCTGTTGAAGTAAGAGTCGACAACATGTTGGAACAAATGATCTCGCCACGTCTCGTCTTCTTCTGCCTATCCGGGTTGCGGGGGAACTAGGGAGTTCCAATTTATCCATGACATTTAAAGGAAAACTTCACAGATAAGCAACGACACTTCTTCTGTTAACAAAAATCTTTACAAAAAAGATTTTCTATCCAAATTATTTTATTGACCCTGAGATGTTTTCTTGTTATTCCCTTTATTGTTTTAGAAACACAAAAACATAAAGCATTCACGTTCTGTTAGATTTAAATGTGCATGGATAAGCACAAAACTCTTGATGAATAATTAAAAACTTGCAAGGGTTGTGATGTTTATAATCCAGCATTAGATATTTATAAAGTTAAAACCTGTCACAAAAAACAGCCATAAAATGGTCCTAGAAATCTTCTGTTTTGCTTCTGGTGAGGCTTTTTTTCATATGAACAAGAACATTTGAAGATATTGAGACCTTAAGTTGAAGAGTGTTTTTTTTTTATAAAAATTAAAATCTCTGTTAAAATTGTTTGACTTCATGTCAGAAAAAAACAAGTCTGGGCCTCTCTGCTTAGGGTGCTGCCCCTGCGACTAAACCCTAACCCTAACCCAACCCTAACCCGGATAAGTGCACCATAATGGATGGATGGATGGATGTCAGAAAACAGCAGAAACATAAAAGGAGGAACCGTTTTTTAAACTTATTTGTGTTTTTGACAATGCATTCACTCGCTAGACCAGACTTAAAGGACAGGTTCACACACAAGGCCCGATCATAGACGCACTCATCAAAAACCAGCCACCCATTTTGTAATAAAAAATGTAAAAACAAATGTCTTTTGGCCAACACTTCATTATTTATCATCAGCACTCAGAAGTAAAGATAACAAACTTTTTCTCCGACTTTCTGCTGCTAAGCTCAGCTTATCCATCCTTCTTACTCTTCACATTTCCAAACAAAACAAAACAAAAATAACTATTTAAGAGTTTTGTCTCAAAAAGCCTCTACTTGATTCTTTTGACAATACTTTTCTGTTTTACTAACGACATGCCAAGTCAGACCAAAGGATTTTGTAGTTACATTAGTCAGGTTATAAAACTGAGAGCCTAATCAACCCTTTACACCAGCTTGTCAAACATGCAGAGCATACGGTCACAGAGGTGCAGATGACAAAGAGACCCTGCAAATGAGAGCCCTGCTGCTGTCTGGGTAACATTTCTGCATGAACACAAGAATGTGTGAAAAGTAATTAATTTCCACTTTGATTTGAACCACCTAAGATAGGAGTATTCATTGTTGT